ACAACTTCGCCGCGCCCGGCCCGCTCGGCGCGGGCGACGCGCCCGACGGCGCCGACGCCCGCGCCCGCGCCGTCGGCGCCGTCGGGCGCGTCGCCCGCGCCGAGCGGGCCGGCGGCGGCGAAGTTCCGCAAGGCGCCGATCCCGCTCGTCGAGGTCGACGACGACAGCAAGTTTAGTGTTAATCCCGAGGCGCGCGAGATCCTCGAGGGCCTGCGCGGCAAGGTCTGCGTCGTGTCCGTCGCGGGCCTGTACCGCACGGGCAAGTCGTCGCTCGTCAACTTCCTCCTCGACGCCGACGCCGGCTTCACCGTGGGCCCCACGGTGCGGCGCTGCACGCGCGGCATCTGGTTCTGGGGGTCGCCGCGGCGCGCGAAGCTCCCGAGCGGCGAGCCGTGCTGGGTCGTCGTCCTCGACACGGAGGGCCTCGGCGGCCTCGAGGCGGACCAGCACTACGACACGCGCATCTTCTCCCTGGCGACGCTCCTGTGCAGCACGCTCGTCTACAACTCCCTGGGCTCCATCGACGAGGGCGCGATCTCCAATTTGTCCTTCGTCGCGAACCTGAGCCAGCACATCCGCGTGTCCGACGACGGCGGCGACGGCGACCTGGACGCCCACGAGTACCACAAGTTCTTCCCGTCCTTCGTCTGGGTCGTGCGCGACTTCGCGCTGGACCTCGTGGACGACTACGGCACCGCGATCTCCGCCGACGACTACCTGGAACGCGCGCTCGCGACGCAGGTCGGCTTCGACCCGGCGACGACGGAGCGGAACCGCGTGCGCCACTGTGTGGAAATCAAATCTTCAACCCGACTTCAATGTGCGCGTAATCGAACGGTTTGGACCAGACTCTTCAACTGCGCTTCAAGAACTCGACGAGAGCGATCGATCCGTCCAAAAATCAGCCGAATCGACGTCGATTTGACCGAGATAGAGAGTTCTGAAGTTTGGTGGGGACCCCCCAAACCAGTGGTTGATTTCCACACAGGTGCGCCAGATGATGACGGCCTTCTTCACGGAGCGCAAGTGCTTCCCGCTCGTGCGGCCCCTCCTCGACGAGTCGAAGCTGCAGGAGATCGACAAGGTCGGCTTCGCGAATCTGCGG